GATATGTTGAAAAATATTTTTGGGATCAACAAATACAGGGTCGCCTTCAGCAAGCCATAATTCTTTATTATTTCCTCAGGTATATCAGAGACTAGTATATTGACAATTAGGAAGATTCTGGTGTTGCAACAGTTGGTCAATTTTTAATATACAAGAACTATCTATTTCATTGTTTACTATGCCACGTATGCGGTATATAAATTTTGTAGATAGTTCTTTGTATAAAAAAAAACTACCTACACTATATATTTCTAATTATTACAAATTATTTATTATTGCTTCTGAAATTAGTAACAAGATAATTGAAAATTGTGAATTCTGTAAATCTGCTATTGTAATATAAGATTCACAATTTTAATTATCATATTGCTAATTCAGAAACAATAATAAAAACTTTAAAGTTAATATGTGAAAATATTTTATTTATGATAAAACACACTATGGTAATTTTGCACCTTTTATTTGTTTCATTATACTTTTTTTCATATTAAGGATAGAATTTAGAATTAAAGATTTAGGAAAAATTTTTGAAGGTGCAAATATTTTTATTTGGAGCATCATATCAATTAACTGATTTTGGAGTATAAAGTACTATAGATGTGTTTTATAAATATGTAAAATATTAAATCTTATAGGCTTTTTAATACTAACCTCCACTATTGCTTCTTATTTTATGTGATCCAAAAAGTGGAGACTCCTGCCAGAGACTCCCATACCAGAATTCACTTTTCTCATTTTTAATTATGCCAGGTTTGAAGTATAATTTGGGCGTAATTGCCGGATTGTTTAATATACGCTCCAAATATACTAATGGAGATATTGTAAATGCTTTCTTTGTAGATATAAGTACAGATGGTGCGTTTTGAGAACAAATAAGTACATCATATTGACGTACTGTAAGTAGAGGTAGCCTATACCTTCACTTACGTATACGTCTAATATTCTTGATAACATCATTCTTGCAAAATTTAGGATGGGTAATAATTTTGGCTAGGTCTTCATATGCAACAGTTGCTAGACATAATGATAATGTACCCAGATAAGAATTAGATAAGAATCGTCCCAATTCAGAATTGGGACAGTCTCAATAAGAATTTTTTATTTTTATTTTTTATACTATACAAAATAAATTTTTCTTATTATTTATTATAGACTCTAATTCTAGTTTGATTCTAATCCTAAAGCTCTAATTCCACAAAAAAAATTTACAAAATTTCCATCTGAGGTGGTGATTCTGAATTGAAACAACTCCAATTTCAGGTACAACGATAAATATATATACAGACTTTCTAATACAGAAATATTACTTATATATCATATGCTTCGTACTTCAAATATACAAGGCTGCAGACATAAAATTTGAAAAGTATGTTCCATACTCTCCATCAAAACCTTCAAATTCTGAGGATGTTTCTTCTAGAATTTCATCATTTATTGGGTCTTCTTCAATGTCATCAATTAATAGTACATCATGTATAGCATCTATAAAGTGCATGTTTAAATCAACATATTCCAATTCCTTTAAAACAATGTAAAAAAAAATTGTAACATTTAAAAACTATAAACTATGGATCAAAAGAAAGAAGTAAAAAAAAATTCTAACCTCATCTACCCTAGTTTTTTGAATTTTGCCTTCAGCATTATCATCAATTTCTTCAATATCAACCTTATTGCCAATTTCTTCAATTTGGTCTATTTCCTCATCAGCTTTATCATCAATTTCAATTTCGACAGTTTCTTCAAAAAATTTCATGTCCGCAAAATTTGGTATATTTATTTCTTGCGATTTTTTTGTTCTTTTGCGTAACATTAAAACATCAGGACAGTGAGAGAGATTGGAAGTTCTATTTGATCAGTTCATAGGTAGACTAATTAATGATTGTTTTTTTTTATGGTATTTGCTAAACATTTATTTCGAAAGTATA